AAAATAAGAACACACAAAGTGACAGCAGTTACTATAGAGAAAGGAATCTGAAAATTACCTCCCAAATTCTTTCCCTATGCTCCTTCACCTCCACTTCATTAAAACATGATTAACTACGTAATAGGAACATTTTGATAAATGATCCAACATGGTATAAAGTACAGAAAAGGTCAATATTATATTATTTTCCCCCAATGACTGTTATAAAACTTATAATAAAAATAATTGGAATAATGCAATCTCTAAAGTGAGGTACTAAATGACCATTAACTCTTATCTGTAATCATAGCTACTCAGGACACAGAACTGAAGGATAGTGGATCAACTCTAGCTCAGGCAGAAAAGACCCTGAGACTCTTATCTCTAATTAGCATAAATTTGGGATTGGAAATATGACTACAGAGGTAAAACTAGCTGTAAGTGAAAGATAAATTAGAGCTCAAGTTTCTGAATTCAAGCCACAATACCAGCACAAAAAAAGTGAAATACTAAATTTAGAATATGACAAACTGAAAAGTCTCTGAATGTAAAAATAAGGTTTAAAAAATAAACAGTGAACTATGCAATTTATGGGTAAGGATGGGATGGGGAAACTGGGGGAAAGTGATGGAAGAGATGACACTGTACAAAAAAAAAAGAAATGTAGGGCTGGGAAGGTGGCTCAGTGGTAGAGCGCTTGCCTTGCATGCAAGAGGCCCTGGGTTCGATTCCTCAGCACCACATAAGCAAAAAGAAAAAAAAAGCCGGAAGTGGCGCTGTGGCTCAAGTGGTAGAGCACTAGCCTTGAGCTGAAGAGCTGAGGGACAGCGCCCAGGCCCAGAGTTCAGGCCCCACGACCGGACCCCCCCCCCCAAAAAAAGAAATGTACTCATTTCCTGGCTTTTAAAATGACAAACCCCTCTGTACAACATGTTAATAACAAAATCATATTTAAAATATGTATTTCAGAGAGCAAGGGAAGGCGTAACATTGTCCAAAAAGAAATGTGCTGTTTACTTGATTCATGTAACTTAACCTCTCTGTACATCTCCTTTATAAGAATAAAAATTTAAGTATGTGTATATTTCACAGAAATGGAAACACTAAGAGTTAATAAATGCAGCAGTGGTACTCACTATGTTGAAAAGGAACTACAGTAAATACAACTTGTGGATGGAGACAGGAGGCAGAAACTGGAAGAGAGTGAGGGAAGGGGTGCCATTGTCTAAAAGTGTACTCATTATCTAACTTATGTAACTATAACAATTTACAAATGTAAACTGTTGTTTATAACAATAAAAATAGCATTAATAAAAATAAATTTATAAAATGGTTCTTTGGGGGCTGGGAATATGGCTTAGTGGTAGAATGCTTGCCTAGCATGCATAAAGCCCTGGGTTCTATTCCTCAGTACCACATAAACAGAAAAGGCCAGAAGTGGCACTGTGGCTCAAGTGTTAGAGTGCTAGCCTTGAGCAAAAGAAGTTTATGGACAGTACCCAAACCCTGAGTTCAAGCCCCAGGGCCAGAAAAAACAAAACAAAACAAAACAAGACAAAGAAACAGAAAAAGCCAAAAGTGGCAATGTGGCTCAAGTAGTAAAGTACTAGCCTTGAGCAAAAGTAGTTCAGGAGCAGTGTCCAAGCTCTGGTTCCTTGGTCAATACATTACCCAATTATGTACCTATGCAGAATAGGTTAGCAGTGCCAATATTATTGTAAATTTTACTATCAAACTAACCAATAATCACATGTTGTAACTAAATGGCAAATTACTTAAACTTACTTTTTGTACTTTATTTCAAATTACTTGACTTTTATTGTTATTTTATTCCCAAATTGCAATGACTATTATCTCCACTGTCAAAAGAAGTTGTAGTGGACAGCATTGTTCTAAATAAATTGTCAGTTAAGCCAGGGAGTGGCTAATGCTTGTAATCTTAACTACTCAGGAGACTGAGATCTAAAGAACTTAGGTAAGAAGCCAGCACCAGCAGTCCATGAGACTCTTATCTCCAATTAACCTCCAAAAAGCTGAGGTAAAACTGTACTGGGGGGGGGGAGGGGGGGCGGCAATGGTGGCTCACGCCTGTAATCCTAGCTACTCAAGAGGCTGAGATCTGAGGATCGAGGTTCAAAGCCAGCCCGGACAGGAGAGACTGTGAGACTCCTATCTGGAAGTGGCGTTGTAGCTCAAGTGGTAGAGCGCTCATCTTGAGCTGAAGAGCTGAGGGACAGCACCCAGGCCCAGAGTTCAAGCCCCACGACCAACCAAAAAAAAAAAAAAAACTGTGCTCAAGCCTTAATCAAAAAGTCAGGTACAGCAAACCAGGCCCTGAGTTCAAGCTCAAGTAACAGCACAAAACAAAATATAACAAAAAAGAACGTCTGCTTGTGATTTTAAAATTTATATATGAAGTAAGTATAAATTCAAGAACACATCCTAAAATGGATAAAGGCATCTATGATACTCAATGATAAAAGATTATGAACTCTTTACCCTAAGATGAAAAATAAAGGAAAGTTGTCTACTTTTACCATTCTGATTAACCACTGTACTAAATATGCTATTAGTAAAATAATGTAGGAAAAATAAAAAGAACATTTGGAGAAAGAAAGTTTGAGAAAGAAAAAACTGCAGTATTTGCTGACAATATTACCATCCATATATTTAATCCCAATGATTATAAAAGAAACCACTAAAATCAGTTAAATGAATTTAACAATGAAAGAAAGAAAAGAAAAGGAGAGAGGAGAGGGGAGGGAGGGAGGGAGGAATGGAAGAAAAAGAAAGGAAGAAAAGAAAGGTAGGAAGGAAGGAAGGGAAATCACAGTTTTTATTTACTAGCAACAAGCAACTGGCAAAGAAAATATTTTACATATTATGAAGAACCATAAAATTCTTATGGAAAAGTTCCTAGTAGTTGTGCAAGACACAGACTTGTTCTGAGAAACTCCAGACCTACATACTTGGAATGAACTATGGTCCTTGATTAGAAGGATCAAAGTTATTAAGATATCAGTTATCACAAAACTAATCGGCGATTTAATTTAATCTCAGTAACATTCCTTGTAATAATTTAAAAGCCTATTCTAAAATTGACATAGGAAGGTTGACTAGAAAAGTTAAAAAACAATTTTAACAAGCTGAGTGAACACTAGATGACTTACAAGCTTAGTCCAGAAACAGACCCATACATATTTGGTCAACTGGGTAGCAACATAATCCAATAGGAGAAAAGGATGGACTTTTCAACAAATGATAGTGGAACTATTTGGACATACGCATTCAGAAACCATGAACCTAACCTAATCCCCATATCTGTTACAAAACTTAAGAATAATGTATCAAAAAATAAATAAGGGGCTGGGAATGTGTCTTAGTAGAGTGATTGCCTAGCATGCATGAAGCTCTGGGTTTGATTGCTCAGTACCACATAAACAGAGAAGGCCACAAGTGGGCACCTTGGCTGTGGCTCAAATGGTAGAGCGTTAGCCTTGAGCACAGAGAAGCTCAGGGACAGAGCCCAGACTTTGAATTCAAGCCCTAGGACCACCAAAAGGATGGATAGATAGATAGATAGATAGATAGATAGATAGATAGATAGATAGATAGATAGATAGATAGATAGATAGATGGATGGATGGATGGATGATGGATGGATAGATAGATAGATGGATGGATGGATGGATGGATGATGGATGGATGGATAGACAGATAGATAGATAGATAGATAGATAGATAGATAGATAGATAGATAGATAGATAGATAGATAGATAGATAATATAACTAGCCAGACATTGGTGGATAACATCTATAATCCTAGCTACTCAAAAGATTAAGGTACAAGGATCAGGGTTCAAAGCCAGCCCCAGCAGCAAAGTCCATGAGACTCTTATCTCCAATTAACCACCAGAAAACTGAAAGTGGTATTGGGGTTCAAGTGGTACAGTGCTGGCCTTGATCAAAAGAAGGTTAGGGACAGTACCCAGGCCCTGAGCTCAAGTCCCAGTTAAAAAATAAAAAGTAAATAGAAGTTTGGGCACTGGTGGCTCATGCCTGTAATCCTAGATACTCAGGAGGCTGAGATCTGAGGATCATGGTTCAAAGCCAGCTCAAGCAGGAACGTCTATGAGACTCCTATCTCCAATTAACCACCAGAAAACCAGAAGTGGCATTGTGGCTCAAGTAGTAGAGCTTAGCCTTGTGCTGAAGAGCTCATGGACAGTGCCCAGGCCCAGAGTTCAAGCCCCATTACCACAAAATATATAAAAGCAAGACAGAAAATAGGAATGCAAAGTGTCAGCTACTCTCCAAACAGCTTGGTTTATAAATTCTTTGTCCAAGTTAACTTTGATATAAATGGTTTTGTACCTAAATATGTCAAGAAATTTAATAGTGTTAGGAGTTGGTGGTCACTCCTATATTCCTAGCTACTCAGGAGGCTCAGATCTGAGGATTGTGGTTTGAAGCCAGCCCAGGCAGAAAAGTCCCCATGAGAGTCAATTAACCACTTAAAAACAGGAAGTGGCTCTGTGGTTCAAGGGGTACAGCTCTGGCCTTGAGCACAAACAGGCTCAGGTACAGTGACCAGGCCCTGAGGTCAAGGCCCACAACCAACAACAACAACAAAAGAAATTTAGTTGTACAATTTCTTCAAAATGGTCTAGCCAGAAATGTCTCCCCAAGAAACTGGGGATATGTGAATTTTAGTAAACTGAAAATGTTGACTTTTTGCCTTAATATATATAAAATACATAACATCACTGATAACTTTGGCAACCAGGTATAAGAAATGTTAAGAAAGAAATGGAATAAACAGATCATCTTTTACAAGATACAGATTTATAATTTTTTTAGGTAAAAATGCCTTAAAAATATAAACCAATTAAGAAACTGCCCTTGAATATATAGTTTGTTTATGTTTCATATTTAATGCTGCTTAGTACCTATTTTTGTCATTCTTAATGAGTTCCAGAAAGAATCAAGAATATGATTATTACATATAGGTATTACTTACCCACATTTGGAGGTTTCACATAATTTACAGGTAGTTCTGGAGGTCTGCCTCTATGTAGAGCTGCGAAAGCAGATCCTTTCCATAGTGTACTCTTACAGTCTAAATCAAAGGACAAAAAGTTAATCAAGATATGAATGTAGAACTGGTTTTTGTTCCAACTTTGTCTCATAGGCACAATCTTATTTCTATTTGCTGAGATGAATTTTTTTTTGTCGGTCGTGGGGCTTAAACTCTGGGCTGGGGGGCTGGGAAGGTAGCTCAGTGGTAGAGCGCTTGCCTTGCATGCATGAGGCCCTAGGTTCAATTCCTCAGCACCACATAAGCAGGAAAAAAAAGCCAGAAGTGGCGCTGTGGCTCAAGTGGTAGAGCACTAGCCTTGAGCTGAAGAGCTGAGGGACAGCGCCCAGGCCCAGAGTTCAGGTCCCAGGACCAGACACACCAAAAAAAAAAAACCTCTGGGCCTGGGTGCTATCCCTCAGATCTTCAGCTCAAGGCTAGCTAGCACTCTACCACTTGAGCCACAGCACCATTTCCAGCTTTTTCTGCTTATGTGGTGCTGAGTAATCAAACCCAGGTCCTCATGCATGCAAGGCAAGCACTCTACCACTGAGCCATCTTCCCAGCCCTTGAGATGCATATTCTGCCTATCAAAACCATAAATATGCACATAAATTTTGGCAGTCGAGAGCCTGAACTCAGGCCTGGTGCTGTCCCTCAGATCTTCAGCTCAAGGCTAGCGCTCTACCACTTGAGCCACAGTGCCACTTCTGGCTTTTTTTTTCTGCTTATGTGGTGCCGAGGAATTTAACCCAGGGCCTCATGCATGCAAGGCAAGCACTCTACAACTGAGCCACTTTCCCAGCCTAACATTAATACCTTAATGTATCTTCAATGTATTTATTTGGTTTTCAAAATAACCTTTTATTATGCATATGGCTGCATCACATGCAAATATACAGATTAATAAACTTATAAGTTTATGTTGGTCCTTCTTGATCTTCAGGCCTATAAACATTTACTCATAAAACTACAGAAGACAGGATATTACCCTAGACTAAAGATGTCAGAGAAAATTCCAGCACAATTATTTCTAACATTTATAAGGTACCATGTGATTTTTCTGTTGCTTTGAATATCCTTCCCCCACGGTATAACACCTGTTTTCACTGTATTTGATGTTGGTATAATTTGGGGAGGGGAAGGGAAAAAACAAATACAGGTTGACCCATTGCAACAATGATGTACAAGATGCTAAGTTGCAAAATGAACTTTACAATTTCGGTGGGGGGGGAGTGTAGTTGAGGAGGTGGGAGGGAAGGGATGGTAGGAGAAAAACAAAGGAGGATGCAAAAATGCTTGATAAGAAATGTACTCATGGGGCTGGGAAGGTGGCTCAGTGGTAAAGGGCTTGCCTTGCATGCTTGAGGCCCTGGGTTCGATTCCTCAGCACCCATAAGCAAAAAAAAAAAAAAGCCAGAAGTGGTGCTATGGCTCAAGTGGTAGAGTGCTAGCCTTGAGCTGAAGCAGCACCCAGGCTCAGAGTTCAGGCCCACGACCAGACCCCCCAAAAAAAAGAAATGTACTCATTACCTTACTCAAGTAACTGTTACCCCTCTGTATAGTACTTTCACAATAAAAAACTTATTTTTAAAAAATTCCAGCACAAAAATAATTCCAGCACATTTATACTTTGTAGATGCTGGTTGTGTGATAACTGGCTATAAGAATTGTGTTTAGGGGGGAAAACAAAGGAGGAGGTAATAACAATGCTCAATAGGAAATGTACTCATTATCTTACACATGTAACTGTAACCCCTCTGTACAGTATTTTTACAACAAAAAAACACACAAAAAATGTGTTTAGGGGCTAGGAATGTAAAAACTCAAAGGAAATGAATATTTTAAAAATTAAAGGGGCTAACGGGCTGGGAAATTGGCTCAGTGTTAGAGTGCTTGCCTTGCATGCATGAGGTCCTGGGTTCAATCCCTCAGCAAGACATAAGCAGAAAAAGCAGGAAGTGGCGCTGTGGCTCAAGTTGTAGAGCACTAGCCTTGAGCTGAAGAGCTGAGGGACAGCGCCCAGGCCCAGAGTTCAGGTCCACAACCGGACCCCCAAAAAAAAAATTTATGGGCCTGGGTACAAGTGGCTCACATTAGTAATCCTGGCTACTCAGAAGGCTGAAGCCATCCTGGGCACAAAAGTCCACAAGACTCTTCTCTCCAATAAAGCATAAAAATGTCTTAAGTGGAATTGTGGCTCAAGTGGCAGAATGCTAGCCTTGAGGGAAAAAAACCTCAAGTAAAGCTCTCAGGCCCTGAGTTCAAGCCTTAGGACCAGCACCCAATTTTTTTTTAATGCAGGAGAACATTTACCCAATTTTAAGATGCCATTTTTCATTCCTTCCTCTGACAACATGGTTCATCAATCTGAACATCTTACCTTTGGCATCCCGTAACAAAGACTGCCGACCAACACCTAGCAATGTCTGTACCCCAGGAACACTCTGAGGGATCTCCTTGTCTAGCAAGGGACCAATTCGCTCACAGATTTTAAGGAGGTAGTCTGGAGGAATGTGTGCATTGGCTGCCACCTAAAATGCAGAAATAAAACAGGAAAAAAATAAACATTTGGTTTAAACTCCTCAACCTCTTCCTTTTCCAAGTTGTTTGATCTCATAGCAAAGTTCAGTTTTAAAATATGAAATGAGTAATATAAAAAAATAAGCACTTAATACTTGACGCAAATTCCATGAAGTCACAAAAGTTGTACATTAAAATGACATAGAAGCTTCTAGATAGAGGGCTGGGAAGGTGGCTCAGTAGTAGAGTTCTAGTCTTGAGCTGAAGAGCTCAAGGACAGCAGCCAGGCCCAGAGTTCAAGGCCCATGCCTAACCAAAAAAACAACAACAACAAAAAAACCCAGAAGCTTCTAGATAGCAATAGGCAACTTTTATCTAGATCTAGATTAAATCATGTGCTTAGGCTATTGTATAACAAGCAGCAAAAACTCATCTTATTAAAAAACACAAAGGTGATATGCAATCTATGATTTCATTTACTCACTACTGATGAACTGGTAAGAATTAGATATTTTTTCCATAAGAGTTACAATAACATCTCAAACATATCACCTAAGTAGTAACATGGTTTTTCCTACAAATTATGAATGTTTTCAAAGGATATCCTATTGATGACTTTAAAAACTACAACATGAAGCCAAATTCCTTATAACTTAAAAATGCAAGTAAACTCTTTAGACACAAGCAAATGTGTTCCATTTAGTTTTCAAATCCTTGATGTATTTCACAAATATCTAATCATTAAAATAATAAAGAGAAAGCTATTATATTCAAAATTGTTAGCTAAAAAGATCATTAACATTCTTTTTTTTTTGTCGGTTGTGGGGCTTGAACTGTGTGACTGGGTGCTGTCCCCTGAGCTCTTCAGCTCAAAGCTAGCACTCTACAACTTAAGCCACAGCACAACTTCCAGTTTTCTGAGTGGTTTCTTGGAGATAAGAGTCTCATGGACTTTTCTGCCTGGGCCAGCTTTGAACCAGGATCCTCAGATCTCAGCCTTCTGAGTAGCTAGGATTACAGGCATGAGCCACTGGTGCCAGGCTTACACTCTCTTAATCTAGGTCCTAAATGTACTTTGGACTATAATATCAAATTTTATATACATATGTATATATGTATATATACCATATAAAGTACATAAGTCAAGAACAACAAATTCCAAAGAGTAAATAATTCCCATATATCCCTGGTGATTACTGACAGGAATAACATTGTGCCTTTTGTTCATATTCTGAGCATCCCAACAAGTATCCAACAAAAGCATGTCTGGATAAATACTGGCTGAGAGGCTGGCACCTGTGGCTCGCACTTATAATCCTAGCTACTCAGGAGGCTGAGGTCTGAGGATTACAGTTGAAAACCAGCCTGGGCAGGAAATTCCATGAGACTTTAATCTCCAGTTAACAACCAGAAGACCATAAGTGGTGCTGTGACTCAAGTGGTAGAGCTGAAGAGCTGAGGAATAGCGCCCAGGCCCAGAGTTCAAGCCCCACTACTGACAAAAACAGACTTTCCTACCCAACCTGACTTTGAACCATGATCTTCAGATATCATCCTCCCAAGTAGCTAGGATTACAGGCATATGCCACTGAGGAAACACAGACTACCATGCCAAAGAACTATAATGCATATATTCAGAATTATGAGAATATAAACAAATGTGTTAATTTTTTTAATATTTACTGCCAATTATCTTTTGGAAGCTCTTGCCAAAAAAAGCAATTTTAATATAATAAAATAGGTAGTGCTCAGGGAAATGTCATGATACACTGGAACAATAGCAAGCAGGTTAATTCAGCTCTATATCTGAAAGGCTTAGCTTATGCATTGGACAAAAGAATCAAGCAAATATTTTCTACGATAGTTCATATCTTTTGTTTTGTTTTCCAAGAAAATACCATATAGAAACATTTTAGTAAAACATGCACATAATATTAAAATCAAAGTAATGATGCTTCAATCTCAAAATATCTGTTAGCTACAGAAATACTCTAAAATCCTAGCTCTTAACCTCCTTAGTAGGGTATTTTCTAAGTATGCCTCCATGTAAACAGTACCCTTAGGAAAAGATAAACTGTACCAAATGAAAAACAATCTTAAGCTCCTTATGTTAGCATTGATAATATTCATGCATTTTTCTCAACATTTTCTTTTCTTTTCTTTCTTGGTCTGTCATGTGGCTTGAATTCTGGGCCTGGGTGCTGACCCTGAGCTCTTCAACTCAAAGCAAGCCCTCTACCACTTGAGCCACAGTACTGCTTCCGCTTTTCTGGTGGTTAATTGGAGTTAAGCATCTCATGGATGGGCTGGGAAGGTGGCTCAGTGGTAGAGCTCTTGCCTTGCATGCATGAGGCCCTGGGTTCGATTCCTCAGCAAAAAAAGAAAAAAACCTGGAAGTGGCACTGTGGCTCAAGTGGTAAAGCGCTAGCCTTGAGCTGAAGAGCTGAGGGACAGCACCCCAGCCCAGAGTTCAGGCCTATGACCGGACCAAAAAAAAAAAAGTCTCATGAACTTTCCTGCCTGGGCTGGCTTTGAACCATGATCCTCAGATCTCAGCCTCCTGAGTGGCTAGGATTATAGGCATGAGCCACTGGTGCCCAGCTCTCAACATTTTCTTAAACTGGATTTCTCCTACTAGTTATTAATGTTTCATAAAGTAAATAATGAAATGACTTCTTATAAGGTGGTAGAATATTTTCTGTATACACATATAAACACTTAGACATATAGACAGATATAGATATATTTATATCTACAGCTATCTACTTATCTACCTACAGCTATTTATCTACTTAATGATCTATCTGGTTATTGATGCCCTTATTGGCAATTTTCTTTCTTTTCCTCTGACCAAACTTAACTCCCTAAAAACACAGTATGTAATCCAGAAAACAGTTCTTTAATAAGAGAAGTTACATTTCCTTTCTCACGGAAAAATTTTCTTAATTGCATCATAAGCTGACATACTTCATTTTATATCAATTCAAGGTCTATTTCAGCTAAATATAAGCATTTTTATCAACTGCTCAGAATCATAGAATCACAAATTACTGTAAATTACCCTCTATATCCAGCAACTTAAACCTTTATTCCCAAATTTTAATACTTGAGATTTATACAGTAAAATAGTAAATGAATCACATGTTTGGTTTTTCTCTATATGCAATAGAAAATTGCCAAATTTCTAAGCATTCTAGTTCTAAAAGCTCTTTCCTATAAAAATTTAATTATGTTTTAGAAGTAGAGATAGAAGAGACTATCAAAATAATGACAAAAATAATCTTTTGAGTTTAAACAAGCTAGCTTCTCCTCAAAATGGCAAATTGTAGACCATTATCAGTATAGTTCGTACAAAAAAAATCCTTTTACATCAAGTTTTAGATCTTGTGATGGTTAATGTTTACTTCAAACCGTTCTCTTTTGACTAAAGCTGTACTGCTGTTTTTTATTGGTGGGGAGAGGGGAGCAGAGTTTAACCACACAGTCCAGACTGGCCTCCATCTCATAAAAATTCTGCCTCTGGGTTAGGAATGTGGCTTAGTGGTAGAGTGCTTGCCTAGCATGCATGAAGCCCTGGGTTCAATTCCTCAGTAGCACATACAGAAAAAGACAGAAGTGGTGTTGTGGCTCAGTGGTACAGTGCTAGCCTTGGGCAAAAGCAGCTCAGGGACAGTGCCCAGGCCTTTAGTTCAAGCCCCAGGACTGGCAACAACAAAAAATCTCCCTACGTCTGTCTCCAAGTGATAGATTTACAGATTTGCCCCAGCATACTTGGCTTAAAGTTGGAGGTTTTTGTTATTTGGTGTTAGTGGGGTTTGAACTGAATACCTCGCATTTGGTGTTCTCAATCAGTTTTTTGCTTTAGTTGTTTTTCAAGGAGGGTCTCCATTTTTTGAATTGGCCAACCTTATATTTCAATCCTGATATATGCTCTCAATAAACTGGGGGTATAGGCTCATGCCACCATGCCCATTCAGTGATGGAAATGGAGTTTCAATTTTTTGCCAGCAGTGGCCTCCAGATCTTTGCCTGTATAGTAGCTAGGATAATAAGTATGGGCTACCAGGTGAAACCTTACAGCCATTATTTGGTAAAGAATATTTTTTACCCTAGTTACTTTCTAAAGGTTTCTTTTATGATTTTATATTAAAATACATAGAAATGTAATATAATAAAATACAATGTAAAGGCAAGCACCAAAATATTCTTTTTTTTTAAATCCCTATCTTAATAATATAAGCCAGAAGTGGTACTGTGGCTCAAGTGGTAGAGCACTAGCCTTGAGCTGAAAGCTGAGGGATAGCGCCCAGGCCCAGAGTTCAGGCCCCATGACTGGACCCCCCCCCAAAAAAAATGTAAGCCACTCTTTTCAATCAAAGCTCATTCTAATTTCAATCATCTAACTACAATACAAAGGCCAACTAGTAAAACGTAACAAACATTTTGAAATGAGAAGAAAAAAAATTTCGTTAGCTAGGAGCCAAGGACTCATTCCTATATTCCTACATACTCATCCAAAAGCTGAGAGCTGAAAGTTGCTGTTCGAAGCCAGCACAGGCAGTAAAGTCATGAGACCCTTATCTTCAATAAACTATTCAGAAAAGGCTGGGAGCTGTGCCTCAATTGGTAGAGCACTAGCCTAGAGCACAAAGGCTCAGGGACAGCACCTAGGCTCTGATTTCAAGCCCCAGAGCCAGCTAAAACCAAAACAAAACAAAACAACAAACCTGTTCTCTAAAATCAAAGTTTAAGAGCAAAACACAAGCCAGGTGACAATGAATGCCTATAATCCTAGCTATTCAAGAGGCTCAAGTATGTGGTCCTAGCCACTTATCTCATAACTGTAATCCTAGCTGAGACCTTCTAAGAATTGCAGTTCAAAACCAGCCCAAGCAGTAAAGTCCAAAAGACTCCTATCTCCAATTAACCACTAAAAATCTAGAAGTGGAGCTGTGGCTCAAGTGGTGAAGCATTAGCCTTGAGCTAAAAAGCTGTGTCAGCACCCAGACCT